ATTTTGTTGAGTTCGAAATGGGTAATGAGGAAAAGTCATACTACATGGTGAAGAGCAATGCTAAAATTTGGAGGAAAATTGCAATCTGAAACAAAGTTAAATTAAACAAGTTAAGCAGGACCTCCAAAGAAATATTCGAAGTGCCACACACACTTGTGCAAAAAGTCAAGCTAATGACTTTAAAGAAGCGCTTATCGGGAGGCAGCCCAAGCTTTATTCCTTTTTATTTATTCTGTTTTTGAGTTTTATGATAGTTTATTTTATTGTAAGTTTTTTTCTTGGGACTCATCATCTATACCTTATTTCCCCTTAGGTCTTCAATGAGTTAGTTGGTTTATTAGATGTTAGAGTTAAGTAACACATGTTTCAGTTATTTGATCTTAATGCTTTATTTTATTTTTCAAGAATATGACGTCACAGAATATTTAAACCAATATTGATCAAGGAGTCAAACATAAGCAATATTAAAGCTAGCCATTGAATTACAAGTTATATCAGGGGAGTCTTTTCTTCACTTTCTTCCCCACCCCTTTATATGTAGATTTAGAATTGAAGACATTGATGACAATGTCTAGTTTAAATTTGGGGGTGGAAAACACGCGTTTTCATTTTTATGTGTTTTTGTGTGTTTTTATTGTTTTAGTAAAAAAAATTATTTAGTGTGCTTGTGTGAGTTAGTTGTCGTGGCTGGCAATGATGAATATATTGAATCGTGAATTGATCTATAAATGGTGAATAAGTTGCATGCTTAGATTAATTTTTGTTTTTCCATGTGAAATTTGATATATATTGAGCACATTAATTAAATTAAGTATTGTATGGGAATGAGTTGATTTCATAATTGGATAGGTTGAAATGGTGGACTATAGATATTAAACTCAAAACCACTAAATTTTACATTCTTTGACTAAATTTAGAATAGTTTGGGAGGATTTCATTATTGTAGGAATATGTTGAGATAAACAGGAATTCCATGTATGAAATTAAAATTTTGTGTGGATTATCTAAGTTCAATGGGATGCAATTGGGTGAAAATCTCAAATTGGAGGTCGTTTTACTTGAATTGTTGTTAAATGATGGATATTGCACTAATCAATGCATTAAATATTTTTTTTTTTGTTTAGAAATTTTCTCTTTGTAGCCTTTATGACTCTAGCAATTAAGCCTACAATGATTTTTAAAACATGGTGCCCTATAGTCATCTGACTTTGGAGTCATTGACCGAAAACTTGTTACATATGTCATTTAGAAAGTTTAAGGGAAAGAATGCTTCAAATAAAGAAAAAAAATTATAAAAAACAGTTGTATGAAACAGAAGACGCATAAAATGCCTTGATTAAATCTCAAATACTTGTTTAAGAAAATTTGATTTCTGACAAGAGATTGTTAGCCTAGTTAATTTCTAGATATCGAAGCAATTAAATTTAATGGAGAATCTTTATTTATTGAAATGTTGAACAACAATTGGTAAAATTTTGCCAGACTAGAGAGGTCAGGATAGGAAAAAAAAATAATCTAACTTTAGTTCACACACTGGAAAAGAGTGAAAATAATAAGTTTAGGGGTGTGTGAATCTTACGAGTAATGAAAGAATATATTTGACATTTGAGGGTCGGGAATTGAAACAACTTATGGATTCATAATGCTATGCTTAATTCCTTACACACATACACAAACGTCGATTTTACAATAGAAAAGTGGATTTTAATTTTTGTATTGTGATTTTGAAGTTGTACATAAATTTGCTACTATGATTTCAATTCAGCTAAATCTTGTTGTTTTACTTGATTGACTGGCCACCAATTAGGTAATTAGTATGACGTGTTTGTGTGTTTGTTAGATTTTAATTTTGTTTGAGGACCAAAAAATATTCAAGTTTGAGGGTGTGATAAGTGTAGTTTCTACACTTATTCGAGACCCTAAATGATGATAT